GGAGCATAATTTGCTGCGGCTCTGTGTGGATGACTTGTGTGAGACAGTTCTAGACAGTATCGGCATCAAGTCTCGAAGGTTTCAGATGACGTAATGAACTATTTATCACCAGGGAAAAGCGTGGGCGTAGGGGCTGTGAAAAAGTCACAAAGTTTGCGTGTCGTAATTAAAAATACACTTCAGCCAATTGCACACACGCTGACCTTGCAACTCTGTACATAAACAACCGCATAGACGACAATAGTAGTTTTTTGTCAGGCGGTTTGCTACCATAGAGCGGAGAGCGTTGCCTAGCGCTAGTCAGTTATGCGTTTATTCATCTAAAGTTTCCGTTGTATCAGTGGCTCTTGTGGCCGGTCAAAGGAGTTAGCAACGGCCCGCATGTTCGATCGATGAGAATACTTTTGCAAGGCGCACTTGTTCTTATTACGAATATATAAAATATCTCGCGCGTAAATTATAAATATTTGGTTACTCTTCGGAAGGATTTATACGAAAAAAATTGCTACACTTTGTTTTAAAACTCGCAGTGCTTCTAAGGGCGTACTGAACTTCTTGCTCCCTATATCTGTCCGAGATTTTAGTTTAAATTTACGCTCGGGTACCTCCCAAGATTGGGACAATGAGGCCTTAGCGCAGTGGTTAGAGCATTCGACTTCTATCTAACAGGTCGAAGGTTCGAAATTTGTGCGCCGCAATTGGGTATGAATGACTGCTGACGGCTTATAAGCCAGAAATAGCCATTCCGGTCTTTTTCCATAATGTACTTCTGCTTAATATATGTATGTTCTGGAAATGCGACGATGACTCTGCCTTGTTTTCTAAAATCAGACTTATTTTGTAATCGACTCGCTTTTTCCTCCGAAATCGGGTCAAACGACTGCTGCGCTACCCAAGTTCATTTTTTCATTTTTGCTTCAGGGGTATCTATCTTACTGGCGCCAGCATCCTTGGAGGTGGTGTCAAAGCCCCTCGTATTCGGACCAAGAATCTGATCAGCATCATCTTCTGCGAAGCCGTGGCTATTTATGGTATCATTATGGCGATTGTCATCGGAAATCAGATTGAGGTACCCTGATTTATTTCAACTCTCTGATTCATGATTCCTGCAATTTTCTGACAAAAGCTTCAAGTTTTTACCCTAAATTAAATCAACACCAATCGCACTTACTCCCTTTCTGTGATA